TGGTAGTTAGTTACTTACATTCCTTTCATCCCTCGTTTGTTTGTTTTCCTTTTTTGTTTGTTTTCCTTTTTTCTTTCGTGCATCAGATAAGTCCGAGGATGACGTTGAGAGGGAATCCAGCTGCTGGAGTGCCGTCTGACCCTCACAGAGGAACGCAACGCTGTTCTGGTCCCATCGGCCGGGAGCGGGATCCCTGGAGCACCCGGAGAGAGGTGTGTGTGTGTGTGTGTACTTGTTTAACTATCCTACTTGGGGCCAAAACGTGACATATTCACTAATCTTCTGAGGACCGATGGCCGTATTAGGACCAGAACCTGGTTCTGATGTGGTGGACTCCCTGTTTTATGATTAGGGGTGAGATGTGGGTAGCCGTGGCGCCACGCCTGAGCCAACTGCAGGCTGGTGTTCCAGTCTGAGTGGGTGGAGCCAAACTCCACCCTCGTTAAAGTACAGCTGTAGTTACCACACACCTTGTCACTGAGTGTTGTGTTCACCATTTCACGTGTTTCTGGGTAAAAGTCAGAGTTAACTAATGACCCTGGAGCAGGCCGCTGCTTCATAAGCCTTTATCGTGGAGTTGTCCAGGTCGCTGCAGCAGAACCGTCAAAGCCAGCATTTCCCACCCCGGTCCTCACGGCACACCGTCCTGCTTGGTTGGGACACATTTTAACCGTTCTGCTTCAGATAAATGAGTCCGTCCTCCTCCGTGTTCCTGACAGAAATCCAGTTCCTGGAATGGAAACGCACGTCCCTGTCCTGTTCCTAGACCTCAGCGGTACGCTCGCCTCCATCAGCCCGTCTCTGCTATAAAAACAGAACCACTAACTTTGGGTTTGTTCGCCTGCAGCTGATGATTTCCAGTCCAGTCTGTCGGCCCAGCTGGCTGGGAGGCCTCGACACTCTGCTCAGTGGAGAAGATGAAGACGAAGAATTTGTTGGACTTCAGATTGTGAAACGCTACAGTCCAGCAGTGAGGACACCACACCTCTCACATCTCCCCCTCGTGTTTTACATCAGAGTCCTGAGGCGAGGTCTGATTTGTGGTCCAGGTGAAAGTGGAGGCCTCCTGGGACTCCACGGTGCACGGGTGTGCCCAGCTGAGCCGAGCGGCGTCCCAGAACCAGAAGGTTTACCTGACGGTCCTCACCGTGGTGCAGCTGAGCCACCCGGCCCACATGCAGCTGGTCCTGAGGAAGCGGATATGCGTCAGCGTGACAGGGAGGCAGGTGGTGTGGACACTGCAGGCTGAAACAAGGACTTGTTCTCTAAGACCGACCCGCTGCTTTAAGGAAGACGATTGTGTCTGACGTCAGGGGTTTGCCAGAGCCTGCTGAAGAGGATGTCTCAGCGCAGCACCATCCCCGGCTGTGGAGTTACCTTTGAAATCGTCTCCAACATCCCAGGTGTAAGTAGCACGCCCCACGGTAGCGGAAGTAGAAGCTAGGACCGTCCTACGCTGTTTCAACCTCAGCAGGTGTATCGTACCACATCCCCTTTTCTGGTGTAACCAAGTCCGTTCGTTCGCTTTAAGGCCAACATAGATCAGAACATGTGTAACATAATGTATTCAGAGTTTTATTCGTGTTCCCACAGGACATCCACGGCCCAGAGGACCGGAGGTGCTGGCCAGGCTGGCCGCCAGCGCAGAGGACGACCCGTCAGCAGACAGCGAGGCGGCCATAGAGCGGTACCTGCGTAGCGTCCTAGCTGTGGAGAACGTCCTGACTCTGGACAGACTGAGACAGGTCAGATGATCGTTCACAAGTGGTCCTGTGCCTCACTCCGCTTAGTGGTGTCTGTGAGACCATCTCTGTGGATCCACACCTCCACCAAGAGACTATGTACGGTATCGGGGATGCTAGAACATTTCCATACCTGAAATATTGCGATGTTTCGTGTTATGTTACTGAATCGATATTTAAAATGACAGTTTGTCATGTACCTGGCAATAGGGGGCAGTACATGCCTAAATCACTGCAAGCAAGCATTACTTTTGTGTTCAGTTAAGACCTTACCAACGGATGGCCATTAGGGTCAAAAATCCCTGGGAGAGCAACCTCCAGCAAAATGCCAAGAGCACCAGATTCCCTTCCATCACTGGCAACGAGTGAAGAGGTAAACGTGTAAAACAACAATGTTTAATAATGGTGAGTTTTGTAACCTTTGTTACTAATCAGCAAATGCGTTTTGTCCTCACGGGCTTCCGTAGAAGGAAACATGGCATCCAATATGGCGTCGCCCTGAGACTTAGACTTGCTCACGTGTGTTTTAGAACAGGTTTTTATGGTTAAATCTTATGAAACCGCCAATATTCTTAGTCAACTGGGCATCTTTTAATTCTTTTACAACAACACTTGTGTGGATATGTCCAGAGATTGATGGTAAAAACTACACATTGTCACTTTAAAAGCAGATTTTTTGTGTAAACATTTATTATTTAAATGCTAGTTGGCAGCAGATGATACCGCCTTCATTCTGACGGACCAACGAGCTCACAATTCAACTCAACTTTATTTATAAAGCACCAAATCACGACAAGAGTCGTCTCAAGGCACTTCCCATAATAAACATTCCAATACAGCTCAGGTCATTAAGCAGTCAGAAAAAAGTTTCCTTTATAAGGAACCCAGCAAATTGCATCGAGGTCACTGACTAGTGTCAGGAGTCTTTACAGACTTTACAGTCTGCCTCACGGACTAAGGCTGGGAGCTGGTTCCACAGGAGAGGAGCCTGATAGCTAAAAGATCTGCCTCCCATCCTATTTTTAGATACCCTGGGAACCACCAGTAAGCCTGCAGTCTGAGAGCGAAGTGCTCGGTTAGGAACGTATGGAACATTCATGTCACTGATGTATGATGGAGCTTGATTATTAAGAGATCTCACGATACCGGGCAGCAGCAGCAGCTCAAGAGGTAAAGCGGTTCTCCAGCAATCGGACGGTTGCAGGATCGATCCCGGCTCCGGACAGAGAATGCTGCTGTTGTGGGTTAGGAAAGGCGACATGCAAGTGCGGGGTCATTTATCATTATAACATTGGAGGTGTCCTCGGGAGGCTCTGGCCCGAGTCCTTCCAATTAGGTTCAGCTCAGTTGCTAATGTCGTCTAACTTTTAGCATCGCATCGTCCCCCTTTGTATCGTGAGATAGTTCATATCACCAGACTCCTGCCAGTACACACCCCTGTGACTGCATGTGTGTTGGTATCTTCCTGATGAAGCTCCTGCTTCTTTTCCCAAGTCCTGAGTTTTAGTGAAGCCTTCCTTTCTCAGTTTCATTCACATGCAGACCCGTCAATAACCCATGTAGAGGAGGAGAAAGCCTTCATGAGTCTTGTTGTTGTCTAGGAGGTGGCTGTGAGGGAACATCTAACATCCAGAGGGAACGCTGCTTGTCGCTGCCTGAGCTCTCCCAGCATCAACAGGGTGAGTGTGGGGTTCTGAAGACCCGGTCCAGCGTCTCTGTCTAACCTGTGCATGCAGTAGCTGACCTGGGATCACTTCATCCATGTTTCCGTCCTGTCTCACCAACACCTAACCGCTCCTCAATCTGACCTTTAAGCAGCTGTCAGGCAGCAGTCTGGACCTCTACTTCTCCTCTAAACCTGGTGGTTTTCAGGTGAGACTCCACTTTATCTGCTGGTTTACAGGACCAGGTACTTTCACCAAGCCCGACTTAACGAGTTAAACATTTATTATAGCAGATTTATCTAAACAGGATGTTTGGTATGAACTTTATCCTGTTTAGATATAGTCTCTATACCATAAATGTGATTGTAACTTTTCAAAAGTGCTTTTATGAGTTAATTCAGGAACCGGTGAACTCGTCTTTTCCAGAACATTTTTGTAGCGACCCAACAAAAACGGCAGTAAGAAGGAATGGCCGTGTGATCCGATGCAGACTAGCGCTGGTTAGTGTAAAACACGGAAAAGATGTTGCAGTCATTTCAACAACATAGAAAAATACACCTGATGAATCCTGTAAAGTTCAGAGCCGACCGTGTTTATGAACGTGTTTAAACACTGGCCAAAGATACGTGTACACACCTAAATGGTGTACACACAACACAATAGGGAGCCTAGGCCACACCCGTCTACTTCTGGACCATGGGCCCCAACTACCAAAAAATGAATGGGAGTCTATTTTCTAATCCCGTTTATTTGCCGTGATGTCCCTGAATTGTAAAGACTGGTTTTGTTGCTGTGTAAGCGCTTGTTTTCCTCAGGTGGCAAAAGTTGTTTCAGGTTTTCTGTGAAAATGCGTAGAGAACTACCGATGTTCGTCTCATTAAACCAACATCATCAAACTGGACACGGAGAAGAGGAGATGACAGCACAATTAAAACATACAAATTAATCAGATTAAGAATCAGAAATAAGACAAAGTTAAAGAGTTTGATTCTGTAGATTACTGGTAACTAGTGTAGAGATTACTGGTAACTAGTGTAGAGATTACTTGGTAACTAGTTAGAGATTACTGGTAACTAGTGTAGAGATTACTGGTAACTAGTGTAGAGATTACTGGTGACTAGTTAGAGATTACTGGTAACTAGTGTAGAGATTACTGGTAACTAGTTAGAGATTACTGGTTACTATTGCAGAGATTACTGGTTACTATTGCAGAGATTACTGGTAACTAGTGTAGAGATTATTGGTAACTAGTTAGGGATTACTGGTAACTACTGCAGAGATTACTGGTAACTAGTGTAGATTACTGGTAACTAGTTAGAGATTACTGGTAACTAGTGTAGAGATTACTGGTAACTAGTGTAGATTACTGGTAACTAGTTAGAGATTACTGGTAACTAGTGTAGAGATTACTGGTAACTAGTTAGATATTACTGGTAACTAGTTAGAGATTTCTGGTAACTAGTTAGAGATTTCTGGTAACTAGTTAGAGATTACTGGTAACTAGTTAGAGACTACTGGTAACTGGTGTACAGATTACTGGTAACTAGAGATTACTGGTAACTAGTGTAGAGATTTCTAGTAACTAGAGATTTCTGATAACTTAGTTAGAGATTACTGCTAACTAGTTTAGAGATTACTGGTAACTATTGTAGAGATTACTGGTAACTAGTGTAGAGATTACTGGTAACTAGTGTAGAGATTTAGGAACAGGAGTGATGTGTTGGGTTTCCTTTGCTAGCAGCAGCATTCTGAATAAGCTGCAGTTGCTTCACAGCTTTTTTAAAAACCAGACAAAAGAGACTGTTGTAATAGTCCAACCTGCTGAGATGAACACATGAATTAGTATCTCTGGGTCTTGTCTGGACATGAGACGTCTGAGGAGTAGCTACATATGTAACAAATGATCGTAAGATGTGATGAGTCCATATAAACATGAAATATCAGTCTGATTGGTCTTTCAGTGTTTATTCAGAAGATTACTGTTACTTTTACTTATTCAGGGACCATAAACACACTTAGTATTAACTCAAGTTTAGTTTATAAAAATGAATTTGTTTCTATTTCCCGGAACTAATGATTGTAGAAGGTGTGAATATAATGAAATGGATGTGAAGCTAGATGTTTTAGGCAAAACCTTGAAGTATCTGGGAGAGTTTGTGGAGTCTGGGTTGTAAAATCAGTTTGGCTGTATGTTTGGTAAACTAGAGATTTGTTTATAAAACCATCCGACGCTATTTGTTAACCCTTGTGTGGAGATCCCCGTTCAGATCCAGGGGGTCACGAGGTCGGGATGGACACTGCCGGTGGTGTGGACCTCTAGGTACCAGGAACTCGTAGATGAGCTCCTATAGGACCCGTCTAGTCTAGAGATATCTCCAGGCCACGACAGTGAGTTTGTGTCTGCAAATGAAAAGCTGCTTTGTGGTCATTTTGTCGGTGAAAAACTGGACCACCGGCCCGTTCCAGAACGCTGACCTAGTTGTAACCTTAATGTGACGTGAAGACGATAACTTCAGTCTTGTTTAACTGGAGAAAGTTTGACTGCATCCAGTCATTAACTTGAAATGACGTGACAGACCAGTAGTTGAAACACATCTTTATTTATCATTTAAGTCAAAGTACCGTGTGTGCCTTAGGGTGTAAGGGGGTTAATGTTAGGGGTTAGGGTCAGTGTTGGGCAAGTTACTTCAAAACTGTAATGCATTATTTATTACTTGTTACCCTCATTTTAAAGTAATTCATTACATTACAATATTACTGATTTTAAAATGTAAGGCATTACACTACTTTTGCATTACTTTAAGTGTACTTTCACCAAAACAACTTCAGTATGAATCTGGTCATGTGACGCTCAGTGAGCTCATGACATATATGTGGAAGGTGATGTGGTGTCTGAGCTAGGATTGCTGTTAAAAACAGTCAGATATAATAACAGTGCTTATAAATGATTGTTTACTAAATAAAAACAACAACAATCTGTACTCTCAGCACGCTGCCATCTTATATTAACTGAGCAGGGAGTGGGGGTGGTGGGGGCTCCAAGCTATATTTGCCTTGGTCCCCAAAGGCCTTGATACGGCCCTGGATGTGGGACTGACTTCTGGGTGATCTGATTCTATCACATGTATAAATATTAAATGCTTATATATTATTGCTTTTCACTGGTAAACATGTGTATTGGGGATAAATCTACCTACTTTTTTCTTTTCAAGCCCTTTGTTTTGTTTTCTTGATTTTATGTGAATAATTTCCGGCCTTTCTCTCTCTAGCCTTCCTGCATGCTGCATGTTTTCTCCGTCTTCCAGAAAAACTGTTTCCTAGACTTCCTACTTTCTAACTAATCAGCCAAAGGGATCTACCGAACACAAATAAATAAAAAATAAAAAAGATTCGCGCTGCGCTCCTGCAGCAATGAGTTGAAATCACCGGCGCACAGCTGAAAAGAAACGTGAAATACCAGAGAATATGGGCGGATATAAACGATCGCAAACAAATTATTTTGTGTTGGTGGAGCGGTTTTGTGAATATAACAGCGGCCGTGCGCAGGACGCAGCTGGAGGATTTGAGCCGTTACCGCTGCGTCCTCTCTGCTCATAGCTTTGCGGGCATTCTGAGTCCATAAATGACGTCATATATGTGGATACTGGATCTTTTTTCAGGCTTCCCGCAAACCCACATCTTGATTCTGAGTTTAAAAATGCGTTGTAATTACCGCGTTACTGACAATTGTACCTAGTAAATTTACCATTTCTTTCCCTGTAATGCCTTACATTACCACATTACAGCAAAAAAGCAATGCATTACAGTAATAATTACTTTTGTACCGCGTTACTCCCAACACTGGTTAGGGTTCAGGGACCCACGAGCCGACTCCTGTGAGTGTTTTACCCAGAATCAGAGGTTCTGGTCAGACTGTGGGGTGTGTTGGAGCTGATCTGTGTTTAGAGGCAGCTAATAAGTGAGGTGTGTGTGTGTGTGTGTGTGTGTGTGTGTGTGTGTGTGCAGGGTTCAGGGAGCCATCAGGACCTCTCAGCTCAGCCATCCCCATCTAGACCTACAGGCACGCAGCTCCACGTCCCAGAACTGAGCCCAGAGACTGGTACGTCTGATGAAACCTTCATCTCCTTAAGCCTCTGAAGCGTCTCTCCTTGCTTTGATGTCAATCAATTGAGTTCTTTCCTATCTACCCTTTAGCTCTGGATCTTATTTTGGCTCCTTTTTTCCATTTCCCTCATCCCTGCCTCCACCCCTGTTTCCTCTGTCTGCTCCTACAACCTCCTCTTCCTCTGTTGTGTATTCAGGCTTTGCCGCGTCTTATCTCCCTCCAGTGGAAGGCCGTACCCAAGCTGCTGAAGTCGCTGCTTACTGGTGGGAAGGCAGACAGAGACCAGACAGCCGTCCATCAGCAGGTACCCCTCGGCCCACTCCCCGTTTCTAAACCCGTCTAGTCAGACATCTTAAATTCATCCTTCAATCTGAATGTCTCTAATCAGCAACTAGTCTGTTGCCATGGAAACTGAGCTGATGCAGATGCTAATAATGTGTATAAATGCATCGGTACGCACGGGGAATGTTTCTCAGAAAGAAATGAACAAGGAATGGTAATGCGGACCTGTGACTCAAACTTCCATGAACAACTTCCTGTTTTCATTCTAAACACACAAACAGGAAGCAAGGCAGGTGAGCTTTGAAAGACTTGTTCATCCTACAGATCTGGTCCAACCCAGCTGGTGTCTACTCATATCCGCTCTCACATCAAACCGCGGCTTGTTGCTGCACAAAACTCTGATCAGGTTTTCTAAGAAGAGAGGTTGTGCTTAAGTCCATGTCGTGCTTTTGCGGTAAATTCTTTCCCGCTGTTTCAGGAAGCTACAGCCAGCCTCCCTGTCACACACCATGGCTGCAGGAGGAGAACAAGATGTGCCACAGAAAAAAATAGAGCAGCAATTGTGGTGTAAAGGACTAGAACGGCAAAAAATTCCATCAATGTTGTCCTTTAGAGACGTGGAACTGAAATTCCCGATCAACTCACCTTCTTATAAGAACTAACTGTTACTGTTTGTTCAAAGAAAATCACGAAGGACACAAATCAGCGATATGGAACAGAAACAACGTCGCAGATTCACAAGAAAGTAGTATTGTTTTCCATTGAGGGGGCGGGGGTTAAAACCCATACTGGAACCAGCCACAAGGGGGGGGCGCCCGTGTTCCTACAGCTTCATCTCCTGTGTCACTTCCAACCTAATATTTGACCCCACATCCAGCCGCAGCTAAAAATGGCTCCACTTCCTGTTTGAATGTTACAGCGCCACATACAGGTCTGCCCTCATTTCTACTTGGGTTGGGGGACATTTTCAGGGTTTTAACGTGGATCTAAGCTATTTATTTATTTAAAGATAAAATATGGAACATTTTAATAAAAAGCTACATTAAAAAAATAAACCACAGGACGTTCAGAGGACTGCAGAATGAATGTACAGGTTCTCCTTTTAAGGCTATATTTAAAAAGATAAACAATCAAATTTTTATTCTGTCAGCACTGTTTATGTTTACATCTACCAGCCACTAGAGGGCACCGGTGCGCTAAAAAGTCCACTCAGCTAAGCGAGGTTGGGACTGTGTAAAAATGTTCTAACGGTGAATACTGTTGTAAAATAAACGTATTAGTAGAGATGAGTCCTTATCCTGTACGATGCGTCTCTGAACGTGGGTTCTGGAAACGCGTCAGCAGTGGACCCAACATCCCAGCAGCTTGAAAAGGAGTCCTGTTGTTTTGTAATACCACCTCTGAACACCAAAGTTCGCTAGGTTGTCCGTGTTCCATAACTTTTTATGCCATTCATATTTTTGTTAATATAACATTGGTGGAGTACTACAATAGTACTCTAAATCTAAAATATTTACAGAAAAGGAACGCTTGTAGAAACGGAACAGCTGAATGTCATCTGCATAATAAGCAGTGAAAGGTATGAAGTGTACCAATTGTTTTACGGAGGGTGTACATAGAATAAAAACAGAAGAGTAACCAAAACGGAGCCTTGTGGTACCCCACATCAGAAGGTAATACTGATCACTCTAGAACGGTTCCAGAGATCCCCTCCAGTTGGGTTAGTTAGGGTGAGATGATCCAGGGTTTCTTGGATGTTGTTAAAAACCAGTAATATTGAGTATTCCTTCCTGTAAGGAAACTATCTGGTGTGTTTGTTATAATCCAAACTGATTTGTGATTGGACCTGTAATCATCTGGCTGAAGGAGTCTAAACAATCCGGGCGCCGTTGCTTTACAGACATTAGCTAACAGGTTCAACGGTTTCCACCTGCGTTCAGAGAAGGGTGACGACCAGTGGCATCATGGGAAATGTAGGGGTGATGTGTTGTTAGTGCGTGCATTTATCTGTGACTGAACTATAGTTGAAGTGATAATCGCACTCATGAAGTTCACTGATCTCACCATCATCAGTAGTTCTGAACAGCTCAGGAGGTCTGAGTGTGTTCTGGGTGAATCCAGGTCACGGTGGTAGAAATGTAGTGCCTGATTTCTGAGACGGCTCAGTGTGAGCTGGGCTAATTAGGTTGCACATGACCCCCCCCCCCCCCCCCCCCCCCCCCCAACTCCTTTGTTACCTCCTCACCCACTGATCTCCAATCATGGACCCGGGACGCTGCAGCTTTTCTGTGGCAGCCAGAGATGGCTGCATCTGATTTGGCTGATTAGCTCTCAGAGCTGTGAAGCGAACCTAATCATGAGAACCGTGTGGCGTTGTGTCGGGCTGGAAACCCGTCGCACCGCGCTGGCTCACCGTTTCAGGACGTTGCTCCAATTAGAAGTCTGCACTCTCGCCTGCCGCCCGCAGGTGTCAACAAAGGTCAACAGAAGAGCTCTGGGCTCAGTCAAACACCTGCCAGCTGTTAAAGCTTCACATGAGCGGAGATTGTTGCTCCAGGAGGTCTGAAAGGGTCCGGCTGACGAAAGCCTGCTGGTGGCAGATATTCTGGGTTAATCTCTAAAGAATCGGTCCAGACCCGAAGAATGTGCTCCTGTCCAAATGAAAACCAGCTGATGGAGTAAATGTGACGGCGTTGGCATCTGTTCACCTCACAGCTCCGAACCCTTCTCTCGGTTTACTCACAACTGAGCCAGATCCAAGTGACCTGAAGATGATCGTAATTTTAAAAATTTGCTCTGAAAAGATCCGGAAACAAACGAGAACAGTTGACAAAACCCTTCAGAACATCAGACGTGCCGTGAAAGCTGAATTAACGCAAACACGGGTGTAATTATGGTGTAATTAATGTGTAATTAAGGTTCTTGTTTTACCTGTTTACTCTGATTAAGCGTCTGTGATATCTTAATTGCACTCTGAACATCTCACATCAACATCCTGGATGCTGATCACAGAAACAGACGATGCTGGACTCGTTTAACTGATTACAGACACAATCATGTGTAATCAGACGTGGCGGAGTGGGCGGTTAGACGAGCCGATTCCTGCAGCGGGAGCAGGGCGCTGTGACGGGTCTGTGGGGGCGTCACGCTGAGCTCGTGCTGTCTGCTCTAACCGGGTTTATTACAGCATTCACGGTTCTGGTTAGAACTGGACTGGACTCTCGGTGCTGATGATGACCCCTTTTCTTTTCAGTGTCAGAGCCTGCCGCGCATCGTGGTGCAGTCGGCCAGCGCTGAAGAGCACACGTGCAAACACCAGCAGCCTGTAAGTTCCTCCTGAAGCTAATCCTGTTCATGTTGGGACTAACTGGGATTTACTGGTTTATTTATGACCAACTGGTCCCAGCAGCCGATGTAAACAGTTCATCGTGTCTTCTTTCTGCCGTTTGGCTGCCAGACTCTCAAACACACATCCTGACTCCTGGAAGGAGATGGAGACCGTCCACTAAAGACGGAAGAGTCTCAGTCACCATTCCAGATGAGCCCAAGAGCTTGTTCAGAGGTCCCAGTGGGATTTATGTTGGAGACGGTCCATCTGCAGGTCACAGGATTCATCTCATTACTCCTGAAAACGCATCGCTCTATTTTATAAACACTGTTCTAAACAACAGTCAGGGTCCGTCAGCTCCAACGCTCGGGTACAGGAGCCACAGAGACCCGGGCAGGGTGGGCGAGGGTTCGGGAGCTGTAAGGTGCTGTACAGTCAGCCGCCATACAACACGGTAAAGGAGAGAGAGAGCTCTTCTAGAACCAACCTGACTCCGTTCCTGCGGTGAGCGGCGCCACAGCGTACACCCATTCTGCTACATCTACCCCGTCCTCGTGTGACCAATCCCTAGACAGATGGAGCAAGACTCATGGAGCTCCTTGTGATGCATGAAGCCACGCCCACGAGGACCGGGGCGAATTGCATACTTCTGCGTTTTTGGGCTCCATCACGGAGCTCGTCAGAGCCGAGGTTTTCATCTTCCTTGACCCACGTCTTCTTGATGCATTTCAAATCCAGAGCTCTGACGTTTTCCGTTAATGAACTACGTGAACTTATCGGTACCGTTTATCAGTGACTGAAACCAGTTTTGGTCCAGATGCAGCTCAACAGGCCCAGACCACATTTCACTGGGCCGTGAGAACATGTCAGAGCCCAACACTTTAAGAAGGAAGTGAATTAAGATTGTTGTTCGACTTTAGTCACGAAGCTTCTTAATTGTGTCTCTTTATTAATGATAAATGCACCGAGTCGCGCCGCAGTCGTCTCACAGACTCGGGAACCGACCTGCAGAGGTCCTGAGGTGAAAGCATGAACAGTGAGGGAAGTCAAAACTGTTTCCCAGTCAGAGGACTCTAAAGTGCTTTATACTGTAGCCAGACATTCATCCATGCACACGCTGATGGTGATGAGCTACGTCGTAGCCACAGCTGCCTCGGGGCTCCCTGGTAGAGGCGCCATCAGGCCCGACCACCACCAGCAGGACTGGAGCGGTGTTCTGTTTCACTAACGTCGTGTTTTCTGTCCTCAGGTTCCTCTCGGGGAAATCATTCCTCCTAACGTCCGGTCTGAGGTGCCTAGATCTGTTCCCCATCCGCCTCCCATCAGCCCAGAGATGGAGGACTTCACGCCCAGTCCTGTGTGCAGCACGCTCAGCGAAACCAGTTCAACCAGCAGGTCCACAGTGAAGCTCTCAGAAGTCTACACCCTGAGCTGGGACCTTCCTCCTCAAGAGGACAGTGAAGCTGAGGACTTTGAGCCTTTGCCAGAGGAAGAGAAAGATGAAGGGAGAACCGAGAGCTCAGCGGACCAATCGGAGGATCCGGAGTCTAGTGTGGGCCAGGAAGCAGAGTCAGAGAGGACAGACGAGGAGTTCCTCAAACAAAACCAGAGTCTGAGCCAACTAGATCAGTCTCCTGTTGACACGAAGGCTGAAGAACAGCCTGCTCTGGGGTCCGAGACAGAAAACCGGGCTGAACAGGAGACACCAGAACCGGCAGAAGAGCCAAACACCGCACCTGAGGGGTCTTCACCAGAAGGTCTTGAGAAGGATCAAGAAATCTCACCATGTGACCGAGAAGCTGAAAGTCAGGGGGGGCCTGATGTCCCACAGCCCAAACAAAAACCAGAACCTTCTGATAAAGCTCAGGATCTAGACCCCGTCTCTTTAAAACCCGACCCAAAGTCTTCAGACCGAACTTTGGATCCGGCTCCAAACCAGACCCCAGATTCTAATGAAGTCTTAGCTGGACGACCCAATGGAGACTCTGCTCTCCACTCGCCTCGAGAACAACCTGCTTCTGAAACCTCAGACCCGAGCAGGTCCCCCACCCCACCCACAGACCAAGTCCATCCGGTACCACCTAGTAGTTCTTCTACCAACGCTACACTTGATGTTCCTCAGGTCAAAGTTCAGTCTTCCAAACTCGCCCCGTCAGCAGCAGCGAACCCCTTCAAGATCCAGAAGGTCAAGTCCTCAGACCTCTGGTCTTTTCAGCAGATTGTTGGTGAGGAAGGCAGCAAACCCCCCCATGTGGACCGGGCTGGCAGCCTTGGACCGGGACTCAACGTGTCGGTACCCAAAGAAAGGCTGGAAGTCATCTCCGACTCGGAGGAAGGAGGCGGAGCTGCTTTCCCGGTGCTTCCTGACTGGCTGAGGGTCGGGGAGTTTGTGACTGTCGGGAGCAACAAGAGCGGAACCGTTCGCTACGTGGGGCCGACGGACTTTGCCGATGGTACCTGGGTTGGAGTTGAGCTGGAGGTCCCAGCAGGTGAGAAGAGTCATTGATTTTCCCAGGAATTGTTCTTGTTCCCGACGGTGAAGCTCATCGTCGTTCTGTTTAATCTCCAGGGAAGAATGACGGCTCAGTGGATGGGAAGCACTATTTCCGCTGTAACCCTGGTTACGGAGTCCTCGTGAGACCGGATCGGGTCACACGTGGCGGGACCAGACGGCGTCGCCAGCAGCAAAAGCAGCGCAGCGGCAACCTGTCTGGGTCCAGTCCAAACTTAGCTGCTCTAACTGCTCTTGCTAAAGGTGAGGCTGGAGCATCGGGTCGCGGCCGAGGAGAGAACCGCAAGTCCTGGAACACCTGAATGTCGGGCTGAGGGCCTCGTTTGTGGACTCTACCGGCTTCAGTTGTCTGGAGGCTGGCAGACGGAACAAATATGGAACGGTTCTGTAGGAACGTGAATGTGATCCGTAACAAAGTGTTCCACGGTTCACATTCAGAGCCTCAGAATCAGCGCTCTGGGTCACACAAGTCTGCTAAGGACTTGGACTGAACGGTTTTCCAGGTCCTTTTTTCTCATTCTGGGTTTAGTCTTTTATTTTATCCGTTATTTTAATCAGTCATCACTGGCAAAGGCTCCTAACGCCAAACCTGAGCTTTAGAGGTTTTATTTTTACTCGACATGAAAAGCCAAAGGACCGAATTCACCTAGTAGACGATCAAATGATGCGTCTCAGGTCCGGTTTCAGGTTCTGGGTGGTTCTGAGGCGTGACTGTGCTATCCTGACCCTACTCCCTCTGCTTGTCCTCGGTCCGGTGCATCCGTAAAGCCGCGGCACTTACGTTGTGTCGGGCTAACCCTTAATGACATTTTCTTGAGCGAACAAGCCGACATGAGGAAGACATTTAGAAACCTGACATCACACGCCCGTGGAACCCAGTCTACGGTCCTAAACACTAACTGGGTTTATTCCAGCCAGAACTGCATCTTTTCCTAAGCTTTGGTTTCCAGCAGACTCACCCTCCACCAGACGGAGCGCCTGCTGCAGCCATTAAAGGGATTCTGTAAGTTTTCAGCCATCTTTGTGAGGATGTCGGGTTTCGTTTGGAGCCGTTTGATGCCTGGATGGTTGTTCTAACGTGAAGAATCCAAACATTTAAAACCTCTGGATGTAAAATGTTTCATCACTAAATCACTTTTAGGTTTAAGTGCGACTGACTGCTGATCTCACTGTGGTGCCGACTTCACATGTGCCTTACTCATGCGCAGCCAAAAGCTTCTGGTTGTTTCATCTCCTGGATGTTTTTCTACTTGTGTCTGAAACGGCTGTAAAATGGTTTTAAATGTATTTTCTATTCCCTGCAAAGCTTTCAGAAATCTATTTAAGTGTGTTTTATTCTCCTTTTCCCATCCTGTTTCTATCCCGTTTCCATCCTGTTTCTATCCTGTTCCCATTCTGTTTCCATCCTGTTTCTATCCTGTTTCCATCCTGTTTCTATCCCGTTTCCATCCTGTTTCTATCCTGTTCCCATCCTGTTTCCATCCTGTTTCTATCCTGTTTCTATCCTGTTCCCATCCTGTTTCTATCCTGTTTCTATCCTGTTTCTATCCTGTTTCTATCCTGTTCCCATCCTGTTTCCCTCCTGTTTCCATCCCGTTCCCCTCCTGTTTCCATCCCGTTCCCCTCCTGTTTCCATCCTGTTTCTATCCTGTTCCCATCCTGTTTCCCTCCTGTTTCCATCCTGTTTCTATCCTGTTCCCATCCTGTTTCTATCCTGTTCCCATCCTGTTTCTATCCTGTTTCCATCCTGTTTCCATCCTGTTTCTATCCTGTTTCCATCCTGTTTCCCTCCTGTTTCCATCCCGTTCCCCTCCTGTTTCCATCCCGTTCCCCTCCTGTTTCCATCCCGTTCCCCTCCTGTTTCCATCCCGTTCCCCTCCTGTTTCCATCCCGTTCCCCTCCTGTTTCCATCCCGTTTCCATCCCGTTCCCCTCCTGTTTCTATCCTGTTTCCATCCTGTTTCTATCCTGTTTCCATCCCGTTCCCCTCCTGTTTCTATCCTGTTTCCATCCTGTTTCTATCCTGTTTCCATCCTGTTCCCATCCTGTTTCTATCCTGTTTCCATCCCGTTTCCATCCTGTTTCCATCCCGTTCCCCTCCTGTTTCTATCCTGTTTCCATCCTGTTTCTATCCTGTTTCCATCCCGTTGCCCTCCTGTTTCTATCCTGTTTCCATCCTGTTTCTATCCTGTTTCCATCCTGTTTCCATCCTGTTTCTATCCTGTTCCCATCCTGTTTCCATCCCGTTCCCCTCCTGTTTCCATCCCGTTCCCCTCCTGTTTCCATCCCGTTCCCCTCCTGTTTCCATCCCGTTCCCCTCCTGTTTCCATCCCGTTCCCCTCCTGTTTCCATCCCGTTCCCATCCTGTTTCCATCCCGTTCCCCTCCTGTTTCCATCCCGTTCCCCTCCTGTTTCTATCCTGTTCCCATCCTGTTTCTATCCTGTTTCTATCCCGTTCCCCTCCTGTTTCCATCCCGTTCCCCTCCTGTTTCCATCCCGTTCCCCTCCTGTTTCCATCCCGTTCCCCTCCTGTTTCCATCCCGTTCCCCTCCTGTTTCTATCCCGTTCCCATCCTGTTCCCCTCCTGTTTCCATCCCGTTCCCCTCCTGTTTCCATCCCGTTCCCCTCCTGTTTCTATCCTGTTTCTATCCTGTTCCCATCCTGTTCCCCTCCTGTTTCCATCCCGTTTCCATCCTGTTTCTATCCTGTTCCCATCCTGTTTCCATCCTGTTTCTATCCTGTTTCTATCCTGTTCCCATCCTGTTTCTATCCTGTTTCTATCCTGTTCCCATCCTGTTTCTATCCTGTTTCCATCCTGTTTCTATCCTGTTCCCATCCTGTTTCTATCCTGTTTCTATCCTGTTTCTATCCTGTTTCCATCCTGTTTCCATCCTGTTTCTATCCTGTTTCCATCCTGTTTCTATCCTGTTCCCATCCTGTTTCTATCCTGTTTCTATCCTGTTCCCATCCTGTTTCCATCCCGTTCCCCTCCTGTTTCCATCCCGTTCCCCTCCTGTTTCCATCCCGTTCCCCTCCTGTTTCCATCCCGTTCCCCTCCTGTTTCTATCCCGTTCCCATCCTGTTCCCCTCCTGTTTCCATCCCGTTCCCCTCCTGTTTCCATCCCGTTCCCCTCCTGTTTCCATCCCGTTCCCCTCCTGTTTCCATCCCGTTCCCCTCCTGTTTCTATCCTGTTTCTATTCCGTTTCCATCCTGTTTCTATCCTGTTTCCATCCTGTTTCCATCCTGTTTCTATCCTGTTCCCATCCTGTTTCTATCCTGTTTCCATCCTGTTTCCATCCTGTTTCTATCCTGTGGGATGTAGACAGAAACAGGATTTTATGGCATTAATTTAGTGTGAAGGGATTTTACTGACCTGGACGTCTGAATGATTATTTATTAAAATAAAAACTGAATGTTGATTATTTAATTTTTTGAGTGAAAATATTTGAGAAACACAACCCATCATTGATATAGTTTTATTCTCTTGTACATTATATATATATATATATATCATACTAAAATAAACACAAGTTAAAAAATGGACAAAGAAACTGTACAGAAAATGTATTTATACTACATCTTAATTACAGAACAGTCTACTGTCCAAAAAAGGCACTAAATTGTGAAATGGGCGATACAGACGAGTCTGAACGTAAGCAGATCTGAGGTTGAGACAACAGCACTCGGTCCTCTCGAGTTCCTAATCTGAGCTATGCTGGGATGAGGTGGATGGTGTACTGGAGGACACGGATGGACATGTAGACATGTTGACCCTGACACACCCCACCCCCAACACTGGTGGACTAATTCAGGAGAACTACAGAACCCGTCAGAACACTTGAACCTTTTCACACACACTCACACACCTGGTTCCATCTAACCCAGTGGTAGCATGTCTAGCTCAGAGGCAGTTCGTTTAATGGAGACCTGAAGCTCTGTGGGGTTCTGTTTTCCTCACCACAGCTTGAATCGTGAACTTTGTGTAGAAACGTCACATCAAACTGGTGATCTCAGCGATCCTTCACTAGTCCAGTTCTTTACTAAACTGGATGGATTTTCACAATTCCTGCTAGTGAGCATGATTAGACCCATGAACACCAAAGCAGCTGTCCCACACGGTGGTGGCAGCATCATGATGTGGACCTGGAGCACTATGCGGATGGTAGAACAAAGGACTTCTCCATTCCAGCTGAAACCAGCTGTTAGATGGTTGAAATGTGGGCCCAGTTGAGTTTTCCAACAGCACCAGGATCCCAAACACATCAGAACTGGTTCCTGATTGGAAAAACAGGACAGACTTCCCGAAACCTGTCGAACATCTATGGACCACAAGAGTCTAGCTGAGTAGTGAACCTACTCTACAGAGAGGAAGGAACGGCTCAGCTGGTGTGTGTGCGTGTGTGCGTGTGCGTGTGTGTGCGTCCGTCCAGCGTGGCAGTGCTGCTGTATTTCATCACAACCTGGCGCTCGACCAGTCTGGTGTGACGTTGCTCCACGCCTCTCTTACTGATCACGTTCCAAACGTAGCAAACAACAACACTTGAATATTAAGGTGCTTCAATTTTCATAAAAGGTTCAAAACCTCGGGGGGGGGGGGGGGGGGGGGGGGGGGGGGGGCTGTTGTTCAGTCAAACGCAGGATGACAAAAACAAAGTTTACATAATAGAAAAATAAGTCACGAGAATTTAAAAGTATAATTTTAAGCATGTTTGAAAACATGTCATTCGTTTTATACAACCGTATAAAAGTGAGCATAAATACTTTAAACCTGTTTAAGAACCGGCTGGTTCTGGAGCTTCTGACTCACGGAAGCATTCGACTATTAGAGCGGAGTTCTCGCGCCGGGGCAGAAACGCGCCAAGCAGATACGTTTTACTCCTGCTCGGATTCTCCAAAACCATCACAGGGACCTGATCTCAAAGAGCTAAGCATTGTGGGAAATGTTGTCCGGGTGGATGCTGCTATGGTCCTCCTTCAAAAGCAACTAATGATGTTTCTGTTTGAAATGTTTTATGTCAGTAAATCTGACATCCCGATGCTGCCAGTGAACCAAACCACTGTTCTAACCACTAAAACGTTTGTCTTCAGAGGAAAAACGCTTTAGAGCTAGCGTGTAGCAGCTAGCGTGTAGCATCTGCACCAGACTAATCTCCAGCTGTTTGGTAAAAAAACTAAATAACTAATCCTTTTGTTAAAAAGTTTGATTTACTCATCAAAATGCAACATTTCACAGTATCTTCAACACTTTGTGGAAAAACTAAACGTCCCACTGAGAGAACCATCGTTTACTGTTAGCGTTGGTGCTGGAGAAGCTGGAGATGACGCGAGTTTCCCTTCAACGGCTCCTTTGAGTTTATTTCTACATGAAACGGAACAGAAAAAGCTTGAAGCTTTACCATCTCCAGTGTGGATTTAGTCTAACCTGATGCCAGCTTCATATTTATACTCGTATATATTCATCTATATATATAGAAAAAGCACTTTGCTTTGATTATTATAAAGAGGCAGCGTCACAGAAGTAGTAAATAGTTCCAGAGTATCAGATCGTGATGTGTGCCTGCTGATACTGTCACTGCTGTAGCGTCAGGCCAGCTGCAGCATCAAGCCTGCAGCATCAGACCACCTGAAGGGTCAGGCCTGCAGTGCCAGGTTATCTGCATCATCACACCTGCAGCACCAGGTCACCTGCAGCGTCAGGCCACCTGCAGCATGAGGCAGCCTGAAGGGTCAGGCCTGCAGTGCCAGGTTACCTGCAGCACCAGGGTCACCTGCAGCGTCAGGCCACCTGCAGCATGAGGCCGCCTGAAGGGTCAGGCCTGCAGTGCCAGGTTATCTGCATCATCACACCTGCAGCACCAGGTCACCTGCAGCGTCAGGCCACCTGCAGCAGCAGATCACCTGCAGCATGAGGCCGCCTGAAGGGTCAGGCCTGCAGTGCCAGGTTACCTGCAGCACCAGGGTCACCTGCAGCGTCAGGCCACATGCAGCACCAGGTCACCTGCAGCGTCAGGTCACCTGCAGCAGCAGGTCAGTGCAGTGTCAGGCCACCTGCAGCAGCAGGTCACCTGCAGCAGCAGATCACCTGCAGCATGAGGCCGCCTGAAGGATCAGGCCTGCAGTGCCAGGTTATCTGCATCATCACACCTGCAGCACCAGGTCACCTGCAGCGTCAGGCCACCTGCAGCAGCAGGTCACCTGCAGCATGAGGCCGCCTGAAGGGTCAGGCCTGCAGTGCCAGGTTACCTGCATCATCACACATGCAGCACCAGGTCACCTGCAGCACCAGGGTCACCTGCAGCGTCAGGCCACATGCAGCACCAGGTCACCTGCAGCGGCAGGTCACTGCAGCGTCAGGCCACCTGCAGCAGCAGGTCACCTGCAGCGTCAGGTCTGCAGACTTCAGGGACAATGGGAAACTAAAGAGCTGCCTGCTCTGGATTCACTTTGGACCGTTCTCAGCTCGGTTTCGGCTCTTCCTTTGGCGTTGACGTCAAATAGCTCAGAGTTCTGATCCTCACAGACCAACGTCTCTGGAAGCTTCGTGTTAAAACTAAATGACTGATTCTGGAGATTTGGGCTGGAAACTGAAGTTCAAACACCTTCATCTGTGCAGTTTCCCGTTTGTGCGTTTAGGAATTTCTGTTAAAAATGAGTCAATAAAACCTCCTTAAACCTGAAAGCAAAAATAAAGTTAGCTTGTTTTGTTTGTGGAGAAACCGAAGGAGACGGCTGAGGACTGACCACTGCAGGGGGCGAACAGCTGACTCTTCTGTGGGCCCGTATCGTTCCTGCTGACGAGGAGGAGGCAGCGTCTCAGATGAATTGCACTGTGAGGAGGTGAGGTTGAGGGTGGAGGTCAGTAGGTAGGTAGCCCACCATGAGCTGAGTCGACTGAGAACCATATAGATCATATTTACACGTCTTTACTGAGGTGGAGGTGAGAGGCTGAGGATCGGCTCAGATGAGGAGGGAGGAGGTATCCTGTGAGTCAGGAGCCCCCTGCTGGTGGGAGGACCACCGAGCCACAGGGACTCCAGCTGCGTCAGTATGCAGAGTAAGAAGGCCGGGGTGGGGGGGTAGTTACTGCTTACATGGGTATGGGGGGGGGGGGGGGGAAGCAGCTTTACTAAGTAGGATTATTTTGGTCTCTTTTTTTAAATCCACCGTCGTCTCCTCTGTCCCCGGCTGCATCCTGCTCCAGTTCATTCGTCCTCCAGGGACTCGGTCTTGATGTCGTTGGGGACCCCCCCGGTCCTGGACAGGGCCAGGATGGTGTGGTTGACTGCAGCCATCTCCACAGCCAGAGAGATGGGGTCCTGGTGCTCGCTGTGAGCGGCGCCGTCATCCTGACAGGAAACAACAACTGCTACGTCACAACGCCAGGAGCTGGCACCGCCCCCTCGTTCCTCTCAGCCAATCAGACTTCAGCACCTCCTAGTGGGAGCCTCATGTCGGCTCATGGTTTTGTGTAAGGCGAGTGTTTTACCTGTGTGGGTGAGGTGGGCTCCAGGCGGTAAAGGCCAAACGGTCGGCTCAGAGGTCTCTTGTCAAAGTACGGCAGGTCACAGGCCTAAAGGGGGCGGGGTTAGTCAGGCTGGCGGGAAACAACAACAGGTGACCCAGAAACCCAACCTACCTGCTCTGAGAAGTCGTTCCCGTCGATGTCATCGCTGTTGGAGTGTGCCCCCGGACTCTGGACGTCAATCCCATGACTTTCCAGGATTGTGGCTTCTTGGAGGAAGAGGAAGGATTATTAGACGTGGAGCGAACGGAAGACCAACGTCGGTGATAAAAACCAACCAGGTGTGTGGGCCACTTTAGATCAAAGACTGAAGCTGAGACGGTTTTCTAGCCTAGTGAACTAGACCAAATTCTTGCTTTGCAAAGTTTGGTTTAGGCATGCTCCATTGGAACCTCCACAGCTCCTACCAGGACTCTGGCTAGCCAATCACAGCTCTCTAGAGGGGTTTCAAACACATAAAGAGCTGTGATTGGTCCATAATGGTGGTGCTCTATCTGCTTAGTGAACAAATCACAGAGCTTTATCTGCTTTGTGGGCCAATCAGGGCACTCTATATGCCTGGTGAGTGGGATGATGCAACAGAGAGTATGTCACATTCATTGTCCAGTGGAATGCGGAGATCATTTGAAAGACAACGGTAGAACCCGCCCCACAACCGAGAGCCGTCAGTGGAGCGTGGCCAGACTAAATAATACATTTATTTAGTCTGGCTTGCCAGGCTAACGGTTTTCTTCTCTAGGTGAACAAACGCAGGTTCCCTGGTCGGACACGTCAGGATCAACAGTCTAAACTTACTAAACATCATTTTCTCAGGTTGTAATTTAGAAATCTGGGTAAAAACCTGGAGTCTTCCAGGATTCGCCCCAAGAACCAAGATAGAGGTCGTTAGCTCTGCACCAACCAGCAGCAGCTCCACAGAGCTCCAGGTCTCATCTCCTGGACTCTGGACAGATTGTCTTTCAGACTTCTGGGAGTTTCCACGTTTTCCTCCTGTCACCTAGCTAACCCCCGTTCTCCTGAGTGGACCTCTGCTGCTGACCCAGTGGTGCCCTAGCTTCTCCTCCAGCAGAAACATGGAGGCCATGAACTGAACGCTAGGACTAGTAGAAGAAGGAGCATTCATTACCAATGTTGGCCCGTCTCTTGATCTCTTTGCGCCGGTTAGCAAACCAGTTGTAGACCTTCAGAGAGGTGACCCGCTCCAGGTCCGACAGCTTCTTCCCTAGAGAGAACAAACGGGGTCAAACGCTCTGCTGGGTCGTGAAGCTCGCTTCTCCCGCAGAGATTTACAGATGGATCTGATCCAGCTCATCGCAGAGCTGCTATCAGCAGTACAAGCAGATCTAAACGACATCACAGTGATGTCACCGCTCCAACAGAAGAGCAGGAATGAGGTCATACTTGTGTGACTGGAGGCGGTCCCACCGTGAGCCGTACCTGGTTTCTGGATAACGGCGTTGCAGGCGTTTGCTATCTCCTCCCTTTTGGCCTCATCTGGGTACTGGTTGTCATTAAAGTAGCTAAAAATAACAACAGTCAGATTAAATTCCCTTCACAACACACGGCCAGGCCGGGCGTGGCTGCTGCGGGAACGCCGGACTCGTATCAGGAATCTGATTTCCTCAGAGTTCCAGCCGCCGGCGCTCCTCCAGGAAATAAGAACCTCGTTTCCTGTTAACCCTCTCCGCTCTCGATGCTCACCTCTCCATCACAGCCAGACACTCCTTCCTCCACGTGAAGCGGCTCCCGCGCCGCAGCCGGAAGGTTCCGGGAGCCGTGCTGAGGGGCGGGGGGGTTTGCCTCCACTCCATCTCCTCCAGAGGCAGCGGAGCCGGACGCATGTTCAGAGTCGCACCTGCAGCAGCAGAACTGTGCATCACTGCTAACCCAGTGTGTGTGTGTGTGTGTGTGTGTGTGTGTGTGTCTCTGTGTAAGTGTGTGTGTGTGTGTGTGTGTGTGTGTGTGTGTGTGTGTGTGTGTGTGTAAGTGTGTGTGTGTGTGTGTGTGTGTGTGTGTGTGTCTCTGTGTAAGTGTGTGTGTGTGTGTGTGTGTGTGTGTGTGTGTGTGTGTCTCTGTGTAAGTGTGTGTGTGTCTCTGTGTAAGTGTGTGTGTGTGTCTCTGTGTAAGTGTGTGTGTCTCTGTGTAAGTGTGTGTGTGTCTCTGTGTAAGTGTGTGTGTGTGTCTCTGTGTAAGTGTGTGTGTCTCTGTGTAAGTGTGTGTGTGTCTCTGTGTCTCTGTGTAAGTGTGTGTGTGTGTGTGTGTGTGTGTGTGTGTGTGTGTCTCTGTGTAAGTGTGTGTGTGTGTGTCTCTGTGTAAGTGTGTGTGTGTGTGTGTGTGTGTGTGTCTCTGTGTCTCTGTGTAAGTGTGTGTGTGTGTGTGTGTGTGTGTGTGTGTGTGTGTGTGTGTCCCTGTGTAAGTGTGTGTGTGTGTGTGTGTGTGTGTGTGTGTGTGTGTCTCTGTGTCTGTGTCTGTGTGTAAGTGTAAGTGTGTGTGTGTGTGTGTGTGTGTGTGTCTGTGTGTGTCTCTGTGTAAGTGTGTCTGTGTGTGTGTGTGTCTGTGTGTGTGTGTGTGTGTGTGTGTGTGTGTGTGTGTGTGTGTGTGTGTGTGTGTGAGCCAGTGTTGGGAAAGTAACTTTTAAAAAGTAATTAGTTATGGTTACTAATTACTTTGTCAAAAAAGTAACTCAGTTACTGAGTTACGAAATTATAAAAGTAACTAATTACCAAGAAAAATAACTACTTAGTTAGTTTTTTCTTTAAAGAATGCTAGAAAATGGATTCCCCTCTGAATTAAACTTACATAATTTACTATAAAGTACTACAATAGTGAAATATAAATGACTGGAACATAATAAAATGTATGTCCAAATGTTTTTTATAAACCTGAATAAGTTAAACAAATAAGCACTTAACAGGAGGAACTACTAACAGGAACATTACACGTATCAAGACTATTAAAAGGTCACTGTGTGATATTTAACAAAAACCCAATCAGCTAAAATTTAAAATTGCAAATAGAAACACCCGTAAAGGTTCCTGAGCCTTTAAATGGTCTCTCAGTCTAGTTAAATTACAGAAATAAATGTAATTTTGTACATTATTTTAATTTATCCAGCTTGACATAATTGTGTGTTTTTAGCAGCATTTCTGTTGCTGCTAATCTAGTAACGGTTAAATAAATAAATAAAACCTTTAAAATGACACTAGAAGAGGCACAAGCCTGATGGAGGACTTAAATGTACTAACGTGGGTCAGACCCAACCACAGAAGAGCTGAAGCTGGGTGGTAAACACACACAGGTAGTTCTAATAACACCTGAGCTCCATGACGTCTGAGACTGATGCATCAGTGTTACAGCGGGACTAAAGACATGATCAGAAACAGGTTACAGCTGGATGATCTAGGAAGGTGGAAGATCAGGACGTCTGAGAGGTGAACAGGTGAGCGGACCTTCGGGACGTCCCGCTGTCACGCTAAGAAGGACACTGCTGCAGCCGTAGATATTCATCACGTCTTCCTCGTTCTTCACGGCCGTGATGCTCTTGGATGAAAACATCTGCCTCTTTAGCTCCTGATCAGCTGACGACCGCTTCAACACACCGCGCTGCTTAACGCACGCATTTCCTGATCAGTAACAGAAACGATGTTTTGATAAAAGAAGACGTAATTAATTATTTTGCTCGTTACTGACAGAAATGTGTTTCTGGTGACGCGGTTATTTTAAACGGCGTTGTTCCCGTCACCGGTGACAGCGAGCTGCAGCAGATACTAAAACCACACCGACGGTCTGATCTGAACTCTGACCTCTCGGCTCAGACAGAAAACCTGCTGCTCTGTGATCGGGTCCAACTGGATCACAGAACCGGTGCCATCAGAACAGCAGCTGTTTGTGCCGAGCCGGGCTCCAGAAATAGCTAGGAGAGGTTTGTGGAGCTGACGGTGTTGGCCGGGCTCCACAAGGCGCTGATGCAGCATGAGAACACGAGTTTGGACCTTCAGAACCACCGTAGGCTAACCCTAACCCTAGTTAAAGAGCAAGTCACCCCCAAATCAACTTTTTTTTGCTGATAAACTAAATAAACGCGTGTCTAATCGTGCTGCAGACACGTGTCGTCAATAATTTGGCACTTCAGTGCATCTTAGTTAAAATTTAAATTTTCTGCCTGAAACTGTCAGCGTTGTGCCGTCGTCAGGTAAAAACTCTGCACTGCATTTGAATTCAAATCTGCCACCGCTATTGGCTAAGAGATATGCTATGATGTAAACTGGTACATTATGATGTCACAGTGCTGTTTTGAGCCTGTGTGTGTGTATTTGTTAGCGGCTCCGCCCTCTCGGTCTGCCAGGCAACAGCATGTGTTGCATTTTTCAAACATGAAGTGGGAGTGGAGTTAGACTCTGGTAGGAGGTGACTTGCTCTTTAATAATCGGGTCTAAACACATGAGAGCGGGTCAAAGGGTGTTCCTCAAGGCCAAGGAGCCTCGCCTCGCCTGCCTTGGTTACGAGGACTCTGTCCTTCCTTGGTCTAAGGAAACGGATCAGACTTCACTTATGTGACAACAAGGCAACTCGCCTGTGTCCTTGCTTAGCTAGCTGAACGGCTAACGAACAGAGAACCGACGCCTCGGTAGAACACTGGAACACGCCTTGGCGGTTCCTGATGACTTATCTCCTAGGCAACCGGGGCAGGACCAAGGCATCAAGGCGAGGCTCCTCGACATTGAGAAACACCCCGAGTGTCTGGGCCACGCCGTGTTTCCTTCTACGTGAGCCCGTGAGGACAAAAAGCATTACTGCTTTGTAACAAACCATTCATCAACGTTGTTTTCCACATATACCGCTTCACTCGTTGCCAGTGAGGAGTCTGGGGGTTTTTGACCCTCGTGGCTCTCCGTTGGTCAGGTTTTACACGAACACAAAAACACTGCTCACTCTTAATGATCCAGGTGTGTGACACATCACCAGGGACTCTACACACCGTTACGCTAACCCACTAGGGCCCCGTGTCCACATTCGTGGACTCTGGCCGCGTTTGAGTTGAGCAGCGCCTCGCCTGGGAAACAGATGAGAGCAGACGGGCGCAGCGGGGGCGTGGCTGAACGCCGACACTGAAGTCGGACAGATTTCTCGACATGTAGCTCGCGGGTTAGGGTTAGCAGAAGTGCTTGTGGACATCACGTATGTTACACACGTGTATATGGAGACATGGCTGTAACAAGTAAAGGTTAGCAGCTGTAGATGGTTAGTGTGCTCATGGGAAACGTGACAAATCACACATGGCCTATATAGTTGTCATCATCAGCGTTACATGATTTACAGAATACGTGTGACCAGCTAACATGTCATGTTCTACCACCGGATGTTTGGATCAACATGTGAACCAATCAGATCTTAGATCAGGTGAGAGCCAGGCGTTTCCTGTAGGTTTTGCAGCCGAGGGAGAGCAACTGCACCGCCTTGCTCTCACGAGGTTATCGTTGCCTACGTAGGCATGACGTCAGAGCAAGTCTGCGTTAAGTCTAGACAAATCTAACCGGCATGCACAGCTCGCCGATCACCGCTGATCTAATCTGTGCAGGACTGCCTCATCTGGAACACGACCTCTGGCTCCTTGTTTTGTTGTCTTTCCTTTTTAGGACATATGACGACATTTTTCTTGTCTTTAATGTTTGTAATTTGGTTTCCATTAGTTAAGCGGACTAATCTGTAATAGCTAGATATGTTTACTCTTTTAAACCACACCAAGGACAAGTCTGGGTCCCAGGAGGTTCAAGATGAAACACCTAGCCTGACAGGGTAGAGCTGTCGCAGCAGGACGCTGTTGGGACCAAAGACAGAACCAAACCAACCCGTCAGGCTGGTGGAGCTCCTCGCAGAGCCGAGTGAGCGTAGCCGACCTGTTGGTCAGGTCTCACTGAGGTTTTAACCAGAGACCGGGCTTGTGCAGTACCGGTACCTGGAGACAGGGTCAGCACCAGGTGTGAGGAGCCACGTTACCTGGGGTGGTTTTCTCCAGGATGTACCAGCGGTAGAAGGCTCTCTTCTTCTGCTCGCTCAGGTCGGAGCCGTGCTGCAGCAGCCAGTGGGAGATCCTGCTCTGACTGATGCCTGGGAAGCAGCCAGACACGGAATTATCACAGCTCTGCACCGGGACAGGGACACACACACACACACACACGCACGCACACACACACGCACACTCGCACGCACACACACACACACACACACACACTGTTGGGCAGCCACCGGGTGTGTGAGTCGTCCCTCCACATCTGGGTGTTAAGTGTCCAGAACCTTCAGCACTAATCTGGGAATGGTTGCTCCAAAGCCTTCCTTCATCCAGGCTGGAGTAAGCACACAACATAAGATCCTTTAAAACGGGAACTGGGCTCTAAAGCTCATCCTCAGGTGGTGCTGAAGGTAACTCAACAAGCCTGGTTAGCTTCCTGTTACTGGTCAGGATGCTGAGTACCAGCCAACCGTAAACTCGGGACCTGTCCAAACCAGGTTTACCTCTCTATGGACTGTGAGGGTGGAGACAGAGGAGACGCACTGAAACTGTCCACACGGACAAGACAGGTGTCTTCTGGAGAAACTTTTCAGGGTCAGCTGGGACAATGATCGAGTTGTTTGGCTATGATGACGAGAAATCTGTTAGCAGGAGTCCAGGTGAGGCTGTTAGACCCAAGAACACCAAACTAACTGTCCAGCATGGTGGTGGCAGCATCATGCTGTGGTCCTGGATGGAAGAATGAAGAAGAAAGACTTCTCTAAATCCTTCCAAGGTTGCAACTTGGGTTGGGTGTCCCAACGGGACCACGACCAGAACATGTTTGTGATCAGATAAAGCAGGAGAACATCAACATCCCAAACCCAAACCTCTGCAGGCTGCGACTAAAGGCTGAGTCTGCAGCTCCAACAGCAGATCAACCAGAGGCACAGCAGAGGTGTAACTCAGACCTGTAAGGAGGACAGACACACGTAAGCTGTAAGGTGGGTCCAGCCTAGGAACCAGCAGCTCCAGTCGGTCTCACAGGACAGGAGACACGAGCGAGGAGACACCCTGTCCTCCTCCACTCGTGTCTTTAGCTCAGTGGAACTTTGTCCTTTTTACAGCAGTGAGAGTAGAGAACGATGAGGGAGATCAGTAAGAGAGGTAACTAAGTAACAGGGTTAACAGATTAGCCACACACACACACACACACACACACACACACACACACACACACACACACACACACACACACACACACACACACACACGAAGATCAGCAGATACTAACCAGTCACTTGTGCCACCACAGCCTGAGAAATCCTCCTGTTCCCCAAGAAAGCTTTGATCTCTTCTTTCACCAGACTGCTGTCCCTTCTGCACACACACACACACACACACACACACACACACACACACACACACACACACACACACACAGTCAGAAACAGCTGATCTGCTCGTCGTGTTCGGGTGTGAAATGCTTTGGGCTGCATTAGACCGCTTCACCATCGTGTTCTCGTCTTTTCTCGGCTCTCCGTGGTCGGCGCTGCGGTTCCCCACGGCGGCGCCGTACGCACCGCCACAATCGACTCATGTGCATTTTCTAAATGTCTCCGGGGGACAAGTTTCTCTCCGTCTTCAGAGCGAGCACGGAGAATAAAAACATGCAGAGACTTGCAGGAATGAGGAGAAGCAGTTACAGCGTACCCACCCAGCTCCCTGGCACCGAGCCCAGTCCCCTCCCTGATACACACACACACACACACACACACACACACTTAGGAGTGCGTTCTCCGTTTGGTGTGTTTTATCTATAATGAAGAGCAGGAAGTTGATTCCTCCCACAGGAAAGCCCCCCACCCCGACCCCCACCAGTCAGACAGGACTCAGACCCACGCCGCCATGATGGAACACACTTGAAAGTCCTGAGCGCTTTGTTGGCATTATGAGAAAGCGTCACGACGCTTCACATCCAGCATCAATACAACCCCCCGCCTCTAGGGGCGGGGCTAAAACTAGAGCTGCTCGTATCAACGCCAGCAAATCAATGTAGCCCAAGCTGCTGTGCGGAGGGGGGGGGGCTGAACCCCCGCAGAGCAGGAAGTGTGCACTACATAGAGCGAGGAATGGGAAGGGCACGGTGGCATTGTTGATGCGTTAACCCCCCCCTGTTGGGAATGGTGCCGCGGCGAGGCGGTTATTAACCCCGAGCTGTCGGAACACGAGGTGTGAGCCCACATGGAGCAGGTGAGGAGGAGCTCTGGGATGACGGGAGGATCTTCCAGCACCCCCCACCGATGAGTCGGATAGCTCCACTCTCGTGTGATGTTTTGGTCGGGAGCACACACACGCGCGTGTTCTCACAAGGGGACAGGCATCAGCAACGACCTCAGAGGAGTCAAAGGTCAAAAGTCATTCCCAAACATCTGTAGATCATCTACAGAGAAAACTCTTCACAAGTAGAAAGCGTCTAAGTGCTGATGGGCTTCACAGCACGGGACAAGGTCCCGCTCAGACTGTTAGCAGGTGAAAGGTCAAAGGTCACGACAGGACAGAGGAAACCTGAACAAGTCCAGCCGCAGGAGGCAGGCGTGACCCAAAGCTGCAGGAACAAAGCGACCTACTTCACGCTTGACTCGCTGTGAAGGTGGGACGTTAAAGATCGTGACTTTGTGCTCCAACTGTTCACTAATGTTTGATTAGCGCCGCTCGGGCTCGTTAAACTGTCTCAGAGGACACACGCCGCGGTCAGGATGTAACGCGTGACCTTACAGGACCTGCAGCTGCAGCACCTTCACACTGTAGAAGAGCCAAAGCCTTCATCAGGCGCCATGGTGTGTGCAGTCACCGGGAGCTCCTCAACCATCCACAACTTCAGGCCTGAAGCTGGCAGGGTTAGGGTTTAGGGTTAGGGTTAGGGTGAGTCCGTCCGAGGTGGATCCAGCACCCACTTGTGTTTGGGTCTGAGCCTGTCATGCTGGTCATTTACTGCAGCAGAACCAGAGGATGGCTCTCTTTAGACTGCAACACCAAAGCCGACCCAACCGTCTCTTCAGATCCAAACATGCGTGGTTAGGAGTACCACTGAACGGGTCGCTTGAACCACAGACAGTCTTCTGACTTGTTCGGGTCACCCCTCATCGGTACACCAGGACCACTGCAGACCCAGGAAGCTCTGTTCTGAGGGCTGCGTTGGGTCTTTGTCCGTGAGAACGTCGTTACCAGTGAAGGAGTGACCCTAACGTCACTAGCACCAGGTCACGTCCACTAAAGGAAACAGCTGATCACCTGAACCAGCTCGGATCTGCTTCCAAACCAACCCACGACCAAACGGCAGCCAGAGCTAGCTGCGATGTTAGCGGGTTTCCACCAGAACCAGCGCAGGAACTGCTCTTTTTGTTTCCACCCCTGAGAGTTCTGGTTCCAGCACCAAAGCCACTGGTTCCAGGTGTTGGAGGCTGGCCCCACCACACCAACAGCTTGTAGGTCAGAATCCTCCATAACCACCCTGTAGGTGAAGCGGGTCAGAACCCGCATCGAGCAGCTAGAGCTGGGTTCATGAGCATCACTAGGTCCGTTAACGCCCCCAGCTGGTGCCTCTCCAGGCCAGCTGCAGCACTAACTGCTCTGGATCTTCTGAGCCGGAAGACTCGACATTGGACCTAAACATAAGTTCACCTTTGGGGAGGGAGACTTCCAAAGGAAAAGCATCCAGATCAACCAGCATGGGGGTGGAAACATCATGCTTTGGGGGTGCTTTCTGGGAAGGGGACAGGACGACTGCACTGTATCAAGGAGAGGATGAATGGGGCCGTGTGCTGTGACATTTTGAGCAACCACCTCCTTCCCTCAGTCAGGGATGGGTCGAGGCTGGGCCTTCCAGCATGACAGTGACCCGAAGCACACAGCCAGGATAACCAAGGAGCGGCTCCGTCAGAAGCACATCACGGTTCTGGAGTGGCCTAGCCAGTCTCCAGACCTAGATCCAATCGAAACTCTTTGGAGGGAGCTGAAACTCCGTGTTGCTCAGCACCAGCCCCAGAACCTGACAGATCTAGAGGAGAGTGGGCCAAAATCCCTGCTGCAGCAAGTGCAAACCTGGTCAAGAACTACAGGAAGCGTTTGATCTCTGCAGCTGCACACAAAGGCTTCTGTAGCAAATATTACTACTGACGTTCTCAGGTGTTCAAATACTTGTTCCTCACTGGAGGAGACAGAAACAGCAAAGAGGAGAGTCATCAACACTTTCAGCTCACCTCATCAGCTCCTCCACCTTATCGTCGATGTCCAGGTCTTCTTCTGCAGCTTCAAACCCGAACGCTCGGGACGCTGCGGCGCTGTTCACCGGATACCGAGGAGGGGACAGCTTCCCGTTGGGCGTGGCAGCCAGGCTGTCACGGCCGTTCTGAGACAGCGCCACCAGAGACACCGGTGACGGCAGGATGGCGGAGGGCGGCGGCGGCCCTGGAGGGGGGGAGGTGTCATAGCTGGGAGACGGAGAAAGTCCCCCTCCAGTACTAAACTGAGTTTGCGTGGCTGTAGAGATTTTAGAGGCCGTGGAAGAGGCGGCGGCAGCAACGGACTGATCCGCGGTGCCGCCTTCGCCGCTGTTGCTACCGTTACACGATGCAGAAGAGGTGGTGGTTGCCGAGGCAGCGGTGTTATTGTTGAACGTGGTGGTTGTGTTGGAGGCAGAGTTGTTGGTGCAGCTGTTTGCCCCGCCTACTAGGTAGGAGGAGGAGGAGGAGGAAGAAGAGGTGCGGCGGCCAAACTTGTCGCCGTGCTCCCGGTCCAGCCGGTCCAGAGTGTCGAGCGCATGCAGGATCTCCTGCTTGGTCATGCCGGTGCGCCGCAGCCGCTGCAGCAGATCAATCTGCTCGATGGTGAAGCGCGGCTCCTCGCTGAAGTCAGACATCCTGCTGTCGGGTGAAACAACACACGAGTTACGAAAGAGAAGAGAAAGAAGAAAAACGGAGAGAGGAAATGCAGCGGAGGAGGGTGTTCAGGAAAACAGGAAGCAACCGTAGGAAAAGTCACAGACGGATGAGGCAGAAATGAAGGGATTAAGCAGGATGAGCAGGAATGATGGAAGAGAACAGAGTTGGAAGAATAAAGGTGGAAAACATGAAGAAAATAAGAGGCAGCAGATAAGAGAAGGAAGACGAGAGGGAGGGAAAGAAAAGAGAGGGAGGGGCAGGGCAATAAAATATCTGCTATTTTTGGGAAGCAGCAGGCAACACGCGCAGAGTGCCAGAGTCACCTTGACAGCTGATGCTATCTGAACACTCTGAGTGTCTGTTCTTTAAGAGCGGCGCTGTAATCCCCGCTCCGCACGCCACCCACGCTGCATGTGTTTCATGAGCTATTTGCTGGGCTCAAAATCAATGCTGCTGGATTCAGACTGCGGCATCCTGTGTGCCTGCTGTGTTGAAACGAGCAAGGCTTTGCTACACGTGTGTCACTCTAGAACAGGCGAAGGGCAGAAAAGATGGAGGCCATTAAAGTTCCTCTGAGGCAGAGCTGGGAGAACGATCACCTGATGGAGTTTTAACCTGACTCTACTGTTAAATCATGATTTAAGTGGACCGCTTCATCTCCAGCCGCCACACCCAGGCTCTATTACTGCCCAACACAGAGAGTTAATTAACTCTTCATGAACACACCAGCAGCAAAGCACGGTGGTGGCAGTGTGATGGTCTGCTTTCTACCAGAGTCCAGGAGAAAACTGTCTGACCTTTGACCTTAAACGGGTGGAGAACCCTTTGATGTGGCTGGTTGTGTTTGGGTTGACACTGGGGCAGGTCTGCTGATGTTTTCCACATCTGGGAGCCTGAACAGATGTGACCCTGAGGAGCACGTGCAGCCTTCCAGACACCAGAAGCTGAAGCTGCGAGGTGAACGCTAGAGTTATATTTCTGTTGGATTTGGTTCTGTTCTGATAAAAACATCGTCTAGTTCGCCATTACAAACTTCCTCCCACTGGTTTAAAGAGGTGTAGCATCAATCTGAGAAGATCTAATCTAACGAACCTGCGCTGTTCTGGGAGCTGTCCCGGTCCAACAGCAGACGGTGCCTCCGGGTGTTTTTGTTTTGCTGACTGATCTGAGATCAGAGATCCGTGGCTCGGGGGATGCCAGCTTTCACGCCCTTTGCCCAAAAACAGCTAACATTAGCGAACGAACTACAGGTCTGACAGCGACCCGACCTGGCACCGAACCGTGTCCAATCACTCTCACCGGTTCCGTTACTGAATTCATCCAGCCATCGGTCCGCTAGCTTCCCGTTCGCTACCTGACCCGGGATGCGTGGGTCTGCGCGAGGCAGCGGAGTGATTAGCATACCGCGGGCACTAGCCGCCGTTAGCCGCCGCCGCCGCTGGCTAACGAGGGGTTGATATTAATAACATGACTCTGAGTGTTGGATGGAGATAACTACGTGACTTACCTCGGCTCCAGACGTCCACGTAACCATCTAACTTTAAAACTAGAGCGGAGAGCAGCTGCGCGGTCTGCCGCAGCCGAGCAACGACGCGAATCTGATGGCGGTGCCCCGCGCGACCCTCTTCCAAGGATTTCTAATCAGAGGCGAATTATTTGCCTCTCTGCTTTGTCTGTCTGACAACAGCCATACTGACAACTAACACCTCCGAGGAGCTCAGAGGGAACTGTAGTTTCACTCCCACCGAAGCCCCCGACACGCGGCGGCGCTCTTCGACACAAAGACTACAAATCCCAGCAACGAGAGCGACAGGGAGCCGATGGATCTACCGCTGTTACAGAAACGGGGTGTAGTTTTTATCCGGCCTCAGCGGTCCGGACCGGGCCGGACCGGCAGCGGGAACAGACGGCTTCTGTAAAGGACCAAGTCCCTCACTTAAACTCTAATGTTAGAGTTCTGCTGCTCACGTCAGTCCGAGCATTACATCTACTCAGGATGTAAATATGCTTACCTCTAATTCATAACTATATAATTATTAAATATCATTAAAGCCAAACAGCAGGACAGAACCAGCAAAACACACACACACACACACACACACGCATCTGTTAGATAATCCAACTTTTGTGTTTCAACAATGATGGAAACAACATCAGGTGCAGTGTTCGATTCTCTTTGATGCTTCATTTGTGACCGTAGAGCTGATGGAATTGGCTAAAAAGCTCCACTTTTGTCTCATCTGCCCACAGGACATTCTCTCAGAAGCTCTGGGGCTTGTCAGCAAGCACTTTAGAAAATTACTGGTTACATTTTGTGTTTCAGTCAGTAGATCCCTCCCGAGTCTTCCTCCATGATGCTCATCGTCATTCCAAACGTGGTGTGATGAGAAAGTGATGTATAGACCCTGGGATGCTTTCCTGGGGTTGTCTCCTCTTGCATACCTGTCCAGGGAGGCTGTCTACATCCCCGTGGACCTTAGGTTTCTGTGACTGTAGTCAGAAGAACTGCAAGCTGCTTGGTCTTCTGTTCAGAACGTGCTGGTCATAAGAGCCTTCCTCTTCACCCCAGAAGGTTCACCAAGCCTCAAGTCGTTTTTCACAAAAAAGCAACCGTGACCGGATTATATGCAGATTTTAGATTTTGTTTGCAGATGAGCAAGAAGCAGGTTGTCTACTCAGCTGTTCAGATGCAAAAGGAGATTTTTAGAAAGCCTAATTAAGGCAAAGCAACCCGCCCAGGTGTTGACTGAAAAACAGAGGGCACTTCAGGTAAGCTGAGCATTTCTGCTGTGCTGTTCCTGCTAGCTTTCAGCCTGCACCTGCTTTGCCTTTGCAGAGCTTTTGTAATAAAACCTGCATCGTATCATTCGCTGTAGCCTGCAGGTGAGTTTATTCCACTGTGAGGCTCTGTTAGTCAGAACGATGTAAGAACTTACCATCAAAGGAACAACAGAAATAACCTGTCGAAGACAAAGTCCTGAAAATACAGTATTTTACAGCAGCATTTAAATCTGCCCCCTGATTCGGTTGGAAACACCTGAGTTGGTTGAAGGTGTGCTGCTGCAGTCATTACATATTTACTACATGTGCATAGAAAGCCACATCTTTCATACACGTTTTACCAAATGAGAAATGTTCCATGCAGGCCGTCCTGCTGCCCCCGTGTGACAGCTGGTAAACACCAGCACTGTTGAGGGTCCTGTCTCTGTCTCTGTTAAACAATCTATTGGTGCATTTTGTACATCTGTGCTGATTTTGGTCCAACCTAAAAGGAAGCAAAATGAATTTATTAAAACTTAAACATGTTTTTCTATTAGAAAAACACCACAAAAACATAGATACAAGAACAGAAAACACTAAAAACAGGAGTCCCAATGCAGAATAACAATACATTTACATACCCTAAAGCACACGCAGCAACTCAACAAATGTTTGAATCACAATAAAAATGAAAACAGCTGCTGAAAACCCAAAGATGAAGCCCTAGCAGAGTTAAGAAAAGCTGATTTGGGGACATCCTGACAGACCTAGCAGATAAATAACTGTAGTCACCAACATCAGCACCACTTTTATTCCTAGTTACCAATAAACAGCTGGCAAAACTCTATAGCTGACAAAAGAGTGGGCACTGGAAGATCAAACCCTTATTTTGTAACTTGGTTGACCAAAGGTACCCCAGTTTCTTTCATACCTCGAGCAGGAACCTGACAAATAAAGATTTCTTTATTTAATTTATATATATATATATATATGTATATATATATATATATATATATATATATATATATATATAAAAGAAAGAAAACAATCTTCTCTATCTCTCAAGACAAAAGTGATAAGGTGCGTCATAAAAACAACAAAATCAAATATAATTTTTTTTCTAAAAATTACTAAACATATGATTAAAATGAGAAAAAAATAAAATTTGTGACAAAAAATGCAAGGAAAGGGAGAGAGAAAATGAACAGGAGACAGGAAAAATCAACGGAGCCCCATCCAGCTGCGGTCGACGCCTCCCCCCATCGCCCGAGTACCGCGTCCAGCAGCTCGAAACAGTCACTCCCTCTGCCATAGTGATGTGGCAGTCACGAACGAACTGGCTCTAAGAGCCGGCTCTTAGAAGTGCACGATGGGAGCCGTCCCCTCCCCTCTTGCTTTGGTGAAAGCTACAGGCCAACATGTGTAACTGCGTGTCCAGACTGTCCACACACAGAGCCGTAGGGACGGGGAAGAGGGAGGATCAGACTCAGACACACAGCAGAGCACATGCGGGCGAAGGGAGACGAGAGGGAAGAGGAGGAAAAAGGTGAGGGAGGAGAGAGTGACGAAGACGGTGAGAAAACGAGCGACAGCAGCCGGAAAGTTGAGAGTTTCTTAGTGTTCCAGAAAAATAAATCCAAATAAATGATAAATATTTGAAATATAGCATTTTTTACATTAGTAAATTATTTTACATATAGTTTAGCATTATTTTGGTTATAAATGGACTCTACGCAACAGAAAATCTGAGGAGCCACTAGGGAGCCGAAAGAGCCGGCTCTTTTAGGTGAGCTGAGCCAAAAGAACCGGCTCTCTTAAAAGAGCCGGAATTCCCATCACTACACCGTGTCGTCATCGCTGCACCTGGGTCAGTCCAGCTGCACACCGGGGCTGCATGCCCCGCCCCACATCGCATCACAGTCAGATAAAGTATCTGAGACATGTTCTGAACCGTGGGGTGGCGTTGGAAAGCTTTTCATGTGTTTTGTATTTACACAGGTGATCGTTGGCAGGTAGATGTGACGACACACAAGCAAACCAACAAAAAGAAAACTACTGACAGGGCTAACTCTTTTCTTATTTTTGCTTTGTCCATTTGCTATCCTTATTGAAGGAGTGTGTTAATTTTTAAAAATACACTTTAATCTAAAAATTTCCATGTTGCCCTCATTTTTTCAAACAATGTTTGTTTTTATGGGCATGATCCTCCTCATCCTCATCAGCTAAGCTAGTTAAGCTAACTGTAAATAACCTGCTGGACAAACACTCAGCTGTAGTAATGTAATGGAGTATATGTATCTACCCAGGTGAGCACACAGGAAAAGAACACAGCAGTTAAAACCAGGTGTGGGTGCTAACAGTCCCTGTTGGAGCCCGTGCCCTCAGTGGGACAGGAGAAGGCTGTGTGTGTGGCTGCTAGCTCCCCCAGCCTCTGGTTGTCTCCCCTGGATCCCTCCAGCGCCCAGCTGCCCACCAGCATGTCTCCGAGGATGGGATACTGGAAGCACCCAGCCTGGGTCTAAAACTAGGAGCACTGTCCCGGAGTTTCCTGCGGGAGTCCTGCCGCCTGTGTGAGTATGAGCTCGGGCGCTAAACGAGTTAGCCAGCTGTTTGTTTGGGTCAGCCAGGCTAGCTGGCTGCTAGCACCATGCTAACATTAACTTAGCCTCGGTTCGCTGGGCTGGTTTCTGGGTCAAACACACGAATGTTCCGAGTCAAAAGGACCGCTCGGGTGGTGAGAGACTGGGTCCGAGTATGAGGTGTGTTCAGGGCTTGTGACCGGACCGGGTCAGCGGTGATTGAGTCCAGGCCGAAGCTGTCCTGGTGAGGCAGGTACTGGTGAACACATCAGAGTTTCAGAGGAAATGGGAAAAGGAACCGAGACAAGCTGTGGGTTTAATCCCAGGAAAGTGTTTGTTTTAGTGTAATCCAGCAGACCGAGAGCAGCGCTCAGTACCACATGAAGTTATTCAGTTTGTTTTGATGACATGGTGCCCGTGCATCCTCCCTGTTTACAAATCTGTCACATTTATTGTCCTTTTTGTGCCCTTTAGCTATGAAAAACCACGCTAACTACACCTGAAAGGCTGTTGGTCAAGCAGGTGCGCTGTGATTTGGGGTATTGTTACGTCATGTAACGCAGAAAGAAAGTGGACAAAGCACCAACAAACAGGAAAAAGAGATGGTGGTCATCCAGGTGGGAAAGCCCCGCCCACTTAAGGCTCAGGTAGACCAGAGTAGAAAAGATGACAGAAAGTTGGACTTTAGGTGGACTGAACTGGTGTTTTAAAGTCTTTACTGGTGTTTAATGTTTTGGGAGTTTTCCATTGGATGCTGAACACCTGGTTGATGATGTCACACTCCTCTTACTCCACATTGTTTTAGTACAAATACGTAGTATACCTGATACCGTGTTCTCTTCTTCCACCTGCCGAGTCTCTCGTTTCTGCAGGACTGATGGTTTTCTCTCAAATCCCCTGAGACTGCAGAGTTCACGCCCCAGTAGACTTCAGCGTTACTCATCATTCAAGCTTAAGGCCTTTTTTACTCGCCACATTTCTCCGTCATCACTGGAAAAGCAACAACCCTTGAGTGTGACCACCGGGAACTCTCACAGATGCTACTGTTAGTTTTCACACAGCGGCCGTTCCGTCCAGAGCTTACCTTTTGGTCCGCGTCTCGTTAGGGTGACTGTTAGTGAGTGAGAGACCTGGATGTGATGTTACCATGGCGACCGTTTTCCATCTTGGGTCTCTTCACACTACTTCTACGATTAAAAGAAGACCCGTTGTCTCAGTGTATGTTTTTACAGAGATGCTGTTGGAGTTTCAGGCACAGTTCAGTTCTTTATTGTAAAGATTTTAGCAAAAATGTTCATTTTTCTTTTTAAATAAAAACAAGTTGTTGGTTGGAAGCAGCCAGGCAGACTCATCCGTACCATCAGAGATAAAAACACTTTACTGTGAGTAAACAGAGCTTGTCCCTTGTTTTGTCTCTGAGTTTAAAAGCGGCCTGA